CCGAATAACGGTAAATCACGGAAGAGATAATGCTGGCTTTTCGCACTCTTCTAAAGAAGATCATTAAAATCAAAGCATAATAAACCGATTGCTTCCTCTGCAAACTCTGCTGATAAATGGTAAAGCGTAAAGAGTTTTATCAAATGAGCTGCAACTCAGTTTCAAACTTTGTTTATTCTAGATGATAATATTTTTACTATAAATATTTTTAGTTAAATTATAAATACGATATTTTTTGTAGTTTTAACATAAAAAAATTATTATTCAAAATTTTATTTACGTGTTTCAATAGCAAATAGTTTTTGGGGTGGATGGATATTTTGACAATCAAAGAATCAAAAGTTAAAAAACACTATTTAGAAAATTAATCTTTTCTGAAAGTGGATTTTTCACGCCCACTGGACGAGAATGAAAAGGTCCACTTTAATGTTTGTTACATTTACCTATAAAGTAATGCAGTTAAAAGGACTCTAGAAAGTTTAGTCAAAAATCGAACATGTTTAACAACTTGAGCTTAGTTAGACAATTTAAACTACAATTTATCACACCATATTCACAAAATCCCATAAACTATTTTATTCAATATTAGGGACTATTATTAACTATTGTTCACTTTACATCCTACAAAAAATTCCATATATGATAAATGATTTCTTAATATCCTTGGGTAGTAATGACTGGAATTAAATCTTATTAAAAAATATTACCTTCTATAATAAATTATTTTCAAATAGAAATAGTTGAATAGAAAAATTGTTAAATAGTTAAAATTTAAGCATTTAGACGGTATAACAACTTAATATGGTAGTACTGAAATATATGTTGCTATGGACCTAACAGCAACATGCTTTAACAAATAAAATCGGACCCTGGACGAAAATCACTTTGGCGTAATATCTGTAGAATAAAAAATATACTAAGCGAGAGCAAGTGGAGCTACAAAGGAAAATTTAATCTTAACAGTGCTAGTTAAGAGACCTCACAAAAAAAACATTCCAATAAATTACGAAGCAGTGAAGAGTATGTTGATGATAATAAAAATTGATCTATAATTAGCAAGGAGTAACCACAGCTATTGTATATATGTAACACAATGGTGACCTACCATATGACTCAATAGCAAACGTTGAAAGAGAAGCAATTAAATGTCTTAAAATAATTAAAGATACCAACATTATATTAGCCAGCTGATGAAATTTAGAATGAACTCAAAAATCATAAAGAAACGCAATTACCAGTTACTATAAATGTTTTAATTATAAGAATATTAGCCGGTATTTGTAAAATAAAAGATCAGTATAACATACTAACAAAAATTCAGGATTCGAGTTAAATTGAATACTATACTCACACTTCACAATTATCAGACCAAAGAATCTATAGTACAAAGAAGTACCACGCTCATACAAACGAAATACTCACTTTATTTTGCTGGTGGATTTATAATAAATCCACCCAACCTCATGCAACAATGTTCGATCGAGTCACAACTGGTATGATGTTCAGTTCAAACTCATTGCAACCCACTATTGTTTTTATACGCCTGTTATACGCCTGGGTTCAAGTCTCACACAAAAAAACAAAAAAAAAGCATCACTCTCTTTTGCATTCGAGCCGTAAGCGAACAAGGACACAAGGAGTTATAGTGGAACAAATAAACCACATATATTTAATCATTATTATTTATTCATAAATAATTATTAATTGAATTTAACTCATGTCATGAAAGAAAAGATAGCAACTTGTAACGACACGGATTCTCCCGTTTCGTTATAATGTATGCTGGGGTATCTTCAGTCCCTTCCAGGAGTCGCTACAATAAATTTGTATTTGCAAGAACAGGACTTCTCAAATTAAAGGTGTTATGTTTAATATATTGTTTATTTAAATTATTTATTATTCATTCAAAATAAAATTTATTCATGCCTATTTATTTAAAATTTCATAAAAATATCATATAAAACAAGAAAAGAAATTAATTAAGTTTGGATGATAAGGTAATTGTTTCTTGACTCGGATGACACGTTGACCATGGAGGTTGATAATTTGAAATTGATGGTGTGGCTCTTGAGAGAACGTTGACAATATTGATAATTTGGGATTGATGCTGTTCGTCTTTTATTCCTTTGATATGACTTTTGATTCTACCTGTGTGAAATAAAAGGGTTAGCAAAAATTATGTTTTTATTTATGGAATATTTATATAATAGTGTTCAAGTACGTTGACTTAAAACCGCCTTAGTACTTTTAAACAATTATATAGATATTTTTTTATGTATTATACACCTAGGCTTAAAACCACCACTGTGTCAGACAATTTTTAATATTTATTTATTTTATATGTTGACATATAATGCCACTGAGTGATCATACAAGACTCACTAAATTCTTTTTTTTTTTTTTTTTTTTTTGCAGTAGGTGGAAGCATCAAAAGCCACCGTGTGGGACTTTAACCCACTAAACCACCTCTAAGGAATGAAAGGAGAAGATTTCCACGGCAATGAGGAAACTTCATTCCAGTAGACGAAGGAGAGAGAAGAGAGTAAAGAGACCTAACACGTAGCAAGCTAAGTTCATCTAGATCAGAGATCATGGGCCTAAAATGAGGAAAATGAGGGGAGGGGTTATGGCAAAGGCGTGAGTGTACTAAAAGTAGACTCTGTGACCAGGATCACGAGAGCCACGGTTATATAAAGGGATGACGGAGGGATCTGAGTCCCACTCATCAAAATAATGAGAGATGAATTGAGGAGGTTTATGGCGTAAGGCCTGAATGAGGTCAGGAGGAAGAGAGGTAGGAGCAAGGATATCAGGAGGGAGGTTGTGGATCACTAAATTCTTAGAAAATTGCGCCGTGTTTTATACGCATCCTCTTGAACTTTTTGTGTAAAGTACACAAAGCTTTGAGTTGATCTTAGTTGAACTTAATGCAATTTAACACTTTTGCTCAAAAGCTTCCTTGTACATCTTTTTGCAGCGAATTGCATTCTGACGTTTGTAAATGTTTGTTTACATTTTTACTTTTTACATGTGCTTGTTTGTTTTTAAATTGAATAAAATTAATTAAAATAAGTAAAATTAATTAAAAATATCGGAGTTTTAATAATTAATTTAATAAAATTATTTATATAAACGACGTTCCCTTTTGTTTAAATTACTCCAAATGAAGTGCGTAAAGTAGTAGTGCAAAGGTATTTAAAATTGTTTTCCAATTTTCTAAATGATGATTATATTTAATTAATTCATTTATAGAAACATCCAACTATTGAAATATGCTGTAGACGAGTGCGCTGGGGAGTGATTCCAGGTAAGTATTGTAATGAACCTTTTTATCAGCCGAGGTTTTGCTCGCCGGATCCCAGAGTCGTTACAAGAATATTTCTTATAACCCTGAATCTTTCGAATAATAATTTTAAAGCCGGTTGATTGTTCTTTTAATTTCTTTATTTATTTTTTTCCGAAATTAATTTTTACAATATTTATAACTTATTTGCTAACAATATATATTATAATTGCAAATATTAAGAACTATTATAATTCCTGAAATAATAAAAATTTCTAACCAATGGTGGATTTGGAACCAACACTACCGACAAGGCTGCGTTGTTAAAGAGTCAGTGTTACCGACTGGGCTACACTGGTGGACTTGGAACCAACGCTACCGACAAGGCTGCGTTGCTAAGGAACAGTGTTACCGATAGGGCTACACTGGTGAACTAGGAAAAATGTTAATAAATATTTTTAGTTACCTGATTGTACACTTGCTCTGGTTCTGCCAAGTATTCTGCTTCGTGGCCTGTCATTTTCCATTTTTACAAAATTTAATATATTTAATATATATTAATATATATATAAATTATATATATTATAGTTTTTAATATGTATTAAAAATTTAATATATTTAATACATTAATTATTAATTTTTACTTAAATTTTTATGTATTTTATTTTATATTAAAAAAAAATGTATACACGAAAAATACAAACAAAATCTTAATTGACCGTCAAAAGATCTGCTCAATAGCAGATCTTTCATTTAATCTTTAAAAAGACCGAAAACAGCTTTCAGATCGTTGCCACAATTGCCTTGTTAGTAGAAACATGCCATTATTTTCACTTTATCTTTATCAAAAATTGTAAGTATAATATCTAGAATACTAGAATATTTCGATGAATAATTACCCGAATGAATACACATATTAAATAATTGTGCTCTGAAGATTCAATTACTTCGAATATTCTTGTGCCTTAAGAAAATCGTTTTAAAAAACCTAAAATACGATAGTGCAAACGTAGTACAATAGTTTATTACAATGCCTTTAAATTATCCTTTCTTATATCAAAATATTTCACTACTTAAGAATGATCTCGTCAAAGCTCAAAAAAGAAAGTTTCTTTTGCTACTATTATTAAACTAATCTAAAGTTTTTTTTAATACTTTTGAAGTAAAAAATAATACATTTCAAATAATTAACTCCTCTTTGAGAAAAATAGATTACACGCAATATGAAAATAATAATTAATTGTTTTATAAACTGTTTTGTTATGAATAAATTTCCTATCACTTCATCATTAGGAATGATTTTGACAAATCGATACTTATGTTAAAAACAAGTATGAATTTTTTTCACTTTCAATGTTCAATGTTTTTTCAATGTTAAATTCATGTTAATATGCTAAAGTTCTTTAGTGTTCCTGTAAAGCAGGATTAGAGCAGCAATTGCTGCTATCTTTTATATTTTCATATAAATATACTTATAAACAGCTGATTCAATAATTTGAATATAACAATTTAGAAATTCAAATTTAAAGCATTTGCGGCGTGTTAATATGATAAAGTTTTCATATATTGACATTTCATATAAAGGTTTAATTTCATTATCTTACAACACATTTAACAATTTTTTCACAATGAATAAAAACAATGAAAAAGACTTTGTTGTGTTTAATTTTTAAAACAATGTGATTAATTTCGTTTTGAAACAAAATAAAAAGATGGCAACTCTAGAACATAGCAATTTTGACATTACTGTGGTGAATAATTGCATACGAGAAAACACAAAATGAATACAAAACAAAGCAAAATGATTCCAAACATGACGAATTACTCTCGCGTAAACATGTTTACATAGAAATACTTCGAAATACTTCGTGTAAAGATAAGAGAATTGTAAACAAACTACGAAGAAACTCACCGAGCCTCATTAATAAATTCCGTATAGCGGGTCGCCAGGTTTTGCGGGAAACATTTGTATAAAGTCGCGTAGTCGTCTTCTTTCGAGCTGCATTGTTTTGAAATCTGTAAGTTTCCGTACAAGAGTTTCGACTTAAAGTTTTAGTTTAAATCAAAACTAAGAGTGAGAGGTAGCATTTGCTGGAAGTTGAGTTCGTGCATGAGCCAAATGCGTGTTACGTGATTCGTTGTATTTCTGCGCGCTTAAAATTTCTTTACGATGACAAATTGCATTGCTGAAATCATAGACGTAAAAAGTAGTCGCTGTCCAGCTTTCTGCGATTGCAATTTCCCAAACAGTTTCACTGTCACAAATCACTCAGGTTCTATCGCAGACTTGGTGCAGTGTCGATGTGGTGAGGATACCTCCAACACAATGCACTGGACATGGCAGGATGCGGAAACAGATATCTCTATAGTTGGTCCTGATATAACGTTTCATCCAAGTTACAGTCAAGGAACTGCAATAGTACGTGGTGATGTACCTTTGCAAAGCGGAATGGTGCATTTTTGGGAAATGCGCGTGCTAACCTTTCTTGCAGGAACAGATGTGGTAAAGAAATAATTTTTTATGATTATTAAATTGAATTGAATCAAATTATTTTTTATACAAATTCAATCATTTATTTAATATTAAACAGTAATCGTCAACGGATAAATGCTTTTCGCTTAATTGTGCTTGTACTCTAAGGCATTTTACCCACAAACAACAAATATTCTGGGTCATATGCGCTGCTCGGATAAATGCACCAAGATTGCGACACTTAAAAACGCATTTAACCATCATTACTTATTAAATGTAATAATGAAGACTGAAGACGATTATAATCGTCTAAATCGTTCTGAAAAGCGTGAATTTATTTTAACAATTATTTTATTTTTCTAATTTATTTTTCAAAACCGTTAAAGGACAATGATTTAAATGTCAAAAAGTACTTAAGTAATTTAATCTTCAATGCACACTATCTTATCGTGTTAGTTGAAATTAATTCAAAATATCAAGTAAACAATATTTTTATTGTCTTCTAATATTCGTTGCAAAATGCATTACACATCTTGTGTGTAACCAGGGTAAATATTTTCCGCTTTATTTTTGTCTCATTTTTAATTCCATGGGAATAAGTTACTGATAACATTTAGAGGTCAAAAATTCCTATTCAAGAGATAATAAACTCTTATAGTGTACGAGTACCTTATAATGTGTTGTAATTCAGCACTTAAATGAAATATATTATTTTTAATGATGTAATTTCAAGCATAAAGGTTCTATACTTACATTACTGTAAAACTATAAAAACTCATCGCGAGATACTGAAATTTTTCTTTAATAAACTGTATTTAGTGACCTAATTACAAAAATACTTGGTATGTGGTCTCGTAATCATCGACGAAATGCACAAAAACTAACCAACTCATCCTCTTATATACTTGAGGCTTACTACAGAATAATACTTTTGTGTAAAACTTTATAGTTCAAACTCTATAAATTTGTAATATTCCCTTATACATTCTCTACTCTACTAATTCTACTTAATTTATGCCCTTGCTTTCTGGCTTAGATGAACCTAGTTCACTAGGTATTAAGTCTAAATAATCTTATTTCTCTCCCCTGATTACTGGAATGAAGTTTTCACATTGCTGTGAAAATCTTCTACATTAATTCCTAAGAGGTGGTTTTTAGTTCAAGTCTCACATTGTGGCTTTCGATGCTTTCCAACTACTGCAAAATAAAAAAAAATACACTACTTGTTGATAATGCTAAAGCAATCGCCAACATCATAATTTCATATTATCATAAATCAAATTTGTTGTTGTTGTTCTTAACCTTAAAGGAACCCTAGCCGATATGTCCAAAAGTGACCGAAACTACGTCCAGGAGCGACTAATCATTTAACATAAATTTATAATATTCATAAACTAATATTCATAATATAAATAAACTTATTCCATATGATCGTAGATCTTAAGTTTTTGTGGGCATTCTAAAGCACAAAAGTCTAATTCTTGTTCCCAAGAATCACTGAAACTATGTCCATAAGCGACTAAAATTGTAGACGATTAAATGTGAATCATTACTCACAATATAAACAATTTCAATTGCCACCTTACTCGTACTCACACCCACTACTTTCTCTCTCACGATCATTCTCTCATACGCCATCCTACCCCACGTATTTGTCATGTAATCTATTCACTATCCTGTTTCACAAGTCTCTTTGGCTTACAACAACAAGAAGAAATCCCATCAGATCTAAAAGCAGTGAAACATGTTAAAATAATTAAAACAAATAAGAATTAAGACTGGAAAAATAAAATACCACAAGAGTTAATGAATATAAACGAGGGTAAAATTGTTACGGATATATAGCTTATCATTGTTGTTGTTGTTGTTGTTGTTGTTGTTGTTGTTGTAAAAGTAGTAACCCACGAAGTTCTATCTAACATATACAAATACATTGTATACAAATATAACAAATACATTTACATAAGTTAGGATGTGCGTAGGTGTTGGATATGGGAATAGCTAGCTCCCCGCTAATAAACTGCAATGCATATACTTTGGTTTTGTAGTTTATAATTAAAGATATTAACGACCATAAATTAAATCAAATATAACTATAAACTATAAAACATTCAATAAATAATTATGTAGTCCTATTCACTATATCGAGAAAATAACTACAGAATACTTTTTTGTTGTTGTCACTTCACACCTCTACTGAGGTCGCTGCTCAAGAATATGAAAATCACTTAGTGTCTCATAAATTTGTTTTAATAATTTCTAAAATTTCTTGCAGATGTTCGGTATTGGAACTGATAAATTCGATATGAATCAATTTAAGAGTCATTTCATTTCCGCACTTGGCATTGACACAAACACATGGGGTTTTTCCTATAATGGACGCATTCAACATAACGGTAAAGTGGAACCCTATGGTCGAAAGTTTTCACAAGGTGTAATTGTTGGCGTGTACTTAGATCGCACACACGGTTATTTGGAATTCTTTTTAAATCGTCGTTCTTTGGGAATTGCATACACCAATATTCCAATTAACCCAGATATTAAAATATATCCAATGGTTTGTTCGACAGCATTTAAAACTGTTGTGCGACTCATTAATGCAACATCTGTCCCAGAATGTTTACAATTACGTGCCTACCGAGCATTATCCAAGCAACCTAAAGCACTAGAGAAAATTCGACAAATGCCTGGCCTAATTCCAATAACAAGACTTTATTGGTTTCTTGCTCCTCCGATAAGATTTTCTCAACGATCCGCGGAAAATGAGTTAGATATCGCCGACGAAGCAGTTTTATCGAAGTCGAGATTAAATAGAAAGCAAAAATTTAAAGGTAAGCACACATATTAAAATTGATTTGTCAAATTCTGTGCAAAATATGTTTTTCTTTAACAGATGAAGAGATTGACGTTGATGATCTACATACTAATGCCCACAAAATCGCCATTCAACGACGTGCGAGCGATGATGCAAATTTGTTTTTAAGTGACTGCTTTGATGAACATTTCCATTACCTATTTTAATATTTTGATGAGCATTTGTTTTCGTATTCCATGCCAATGCTTTTTTTGTTATAAAAAGATTACGAAATGGACACATTGCAGTAACTGTGAACGCATGGTGGTGTGCCTTTATTAAGTACTAAAGACTGGTTATGTATTTAATATTTTAGTGATTAACTGTTGTGATTGAGAAATATGTACAGAACACATCTTGTCAATATAATTACACAATTTCAAATTCTCGAAAAGAAACAACTATTTTACCTAATCAAAGAAATATGATTTAATCTTTTTAATTTACTGATACCGTCGAGAGCAAAAAATTAAACCTCGAAGTAATAATATAAAATTTTCGTTAATTGTTAAATACAATTTGTAGATTACAAAAACAACACTTAACATATGTCATAATTCAACATTAATATTTATTGTTAAAATTAATCATTTTAAATATATTTTAAAACAATTTTTATTTTTATAAAATTATCGCTATTTTGGCCTAATTGTTAATTGGTTTTTTTTAAATTATTTTCTTCTTGTGTATATATGCGTGACGAGTATGGAAGTATATCAAATTTATATGTATAAAGATATTGCAATTCATTCAAAACATTCACATTAAAGTAGACTATTCAGCTACACCATGAATATATATTAGTATTAATAAAATTGCGACTATTTTATGCAACAATACAGTTAAGTTAAGCTTATGCAGTAAATCTGATTCTATCGTGATCTTTCCACGAAACCGAGATGGATTCAGGAACAACTGATACATATATTATCTAGTTCTTAAAATTTTCTTGTGTAGTTGATTACTCAATAATCGTGAACTAATGTAGACTATATCTTTGTACCAAAAAACAAACTAAAGATAAAAGGAGCACGATTATTTTATCCAATCCAATACTTCATAATCAAAATTCCATTTAAAAGCATAGTTTTACATTGTATATAGTCGTCTACACCATCGGAACAAAAACAATTAATTTTAACACATTATGAAGTGTAAATTATTGTAAAATAGAAAAAATCTCTTACAAGTTCCCGCATTTTATTATACATTTGGTATAATTGAACAGTTCAGTTAAATACAAATAAAGATTGCAACAAAAATGGCTAAAAAAAGTTGTAGAACTTATCATATGCCATATATCTAACTGACTTTATATTTTATGTTGAATAAACAAGCACTGTGTTCGTTAAAAGAAAATTTAATTCCCAAATTGGACAATTAAGACTTATATTGACAGCTGTTATAAAAATCTCTCAGGAAGAACGACGTCTACCCCGTGCAGCAAGAACTGTTCTAGCTCAATTAAGATCAGGATATAACCATGTGCTAAACAGTTACTTGTCACGCATAGACACATCTATTCCTAATGTGTGCCCAAACTGTAACTCTATCCTCCGTGATGTTGCCCATCTATTGTCTTGCCCCACTGCACAAAAAAAACCTCCATCCAATCGACCTTTACACGCACAGCTTGAAGTGGCCAAGTTTTTTTCGTCTGGACCCTGGTTGATTTCAATTTAATTCCTACCCATCCACAATCCATCACTTCTCCTTTATTCCCTCCCTACCTTTAACCATTACCCATCCACATTATAACTCATGTATTCGTCTTGTAAAACATTTCATGTTATCTGCTTTTAGTTCCCAACGGGACAACAACAACAACTTTTATAATAATCCGCACAAAAAAAGGACTGACCACCATAATATATAATTATTATATATAATATAATCAATACAAAAGCTTAACTGCATATATAAAAACTAAAATATATTTGGATCCAAAAATAAAATTGACTCCATATGTGGATGATTCAAAATAAGTACAACTATGAATACAGAAGTAGTGTAAACTTGAATACAGCAGTGTTTCCATGGTGTTGACTTTAACCATGAACCAAATTTTGATGATGCGTGAAGATATTCTCAAATTCCCAGTAACGAAGACTAAACTTAAAATAATTAGAATAATCTTTATGAATTTGTTTTTTTTTAATTTTTTTTTTATTTAATATTTTTTATTCCTTTTTGTCTATAGTAAAAAGCATTTAATAATTTTTTCACTATCTTATGGTTTATTAGTTGCCTATAGATAACTATCGACGTTACTTGAAATATCGGAATACTTATAAATTATTAATACAATATATACTCATTATATATAAAATCAATATTTTTGGTTATAAGCAATATTTTTTCATTGCTGCTTATTTAAACAAAAATTTTTTTATAGAAATCTCATGAACTCGCTAGACTCAATAGCTTGGATACAAATAAATATGTCATATATTTTTTACTTCCGGAAAATACTACTATAAGTGCCAATATTTTTATCAATTCGTTTCCTTATACCATTCCATCGCTAATATCTTCTTATAAAATTGTGAAGAAATCCACATTTTTCAGGTGTCCTGTAACTCGAATGGTCAATATAGGGAAAACTCTAGTTAAAGTTTTTACAGTTTCAGAATTTTGTTATTATAAATAAACTTAAACATTTGGTGAATATAAACCTTATTATTAGTAACACTGCAGTCAAGCAAAAGTAAGATCATCAGATGCGTGTCTAATACAAATGTACCTCCAAACTTGCCAATAACCTCTTTTATAATCAACAAATTTATCATCTGTCTCCTTTACTCAACACAGGTCAATCAGTACAAATAATTGTGGCAAACATTTTTCACCTAAACTTAGGTTACATTCAACATCCCTACCTATTTCCCCACCCTTACGTATCTTACACCATACCAGTTTTCCCATCCTACACCAATGTACAATATCTTATTCTCTTTGTATGTATATGTTATGAGTTTGGCTGTAATAATGTTGTTACGAGACTACAAAAAGTGGTTACACAGATTGGTTGGATGGACAGGACAGAATGATTGTCTGATAAATGTTCGTATCGTTGAAATATAGAAATAAGTTGATATAATAATTGAGGTATACAAATTGTAAATCTAGGTATACAAATCTTGACATCTTATACGAGCGATCCGAGAAATTAAGTGGTTTAAAATCGATTATTCAATTAAAAACTTCTCTCATTGATCAATCTTTTCAGCGTTTCCCACGTTTCTTTCTTATAATTCCATCTGTCAAAATTTTTATCACATGGTGAACTTTTTTCTTAGAGTTATTATACTGATGTCCAATACCTTATGTGTTGTGTGAAAGACTCATGTACTTATTATTAAAAATCATCTACAAAAAACAAAATATTATTTAGAGCAGGAATTCATTAAAAATTTTAATCGATACTAATATTTTATTTGAAACAAGAACAAGTATGCATATAATATTAAATTATTATATTGTTTATTTATAATTTTGAAAAAATGTATTAATGTATAAGGAACTGCAATTAGTTGCAATATTGCAGTATGTTTCGCATGTATTTTAGCATTTAAATCTTAAATCTTCGCTTAATAAAGTTAAGCAGCCAATTGTTTTAAGGAAATTCTATATATTTCTTATTATAATATTAAATAATTTTATTAAACAAAAGTTAATGGTTAAAATATATTATTCATATATATGTAAGTATATATTGACTCCACATATGAATTAGTGGAAAATATGCTAACAACTATTGCTAAAGTTAGGCTTAAATATGTATTTTAGATATTTATCTGTTAAGAGAGTACGCAATATATATGTGTATTATCTAATTATTATTGCAAAAACCTAAAAACATTAGAATGGGATACATCTATTGAAAATACTCTAAGGAAAACTACTCGAAATAATATAAAAAGAACCAAATCAAAACAATTTTCACCATTTTAAAATTACTAAGTAAAATTAATATAACTTAAATTTTTAACATTTTACACACAAAGTTTCTTGGACTTAAATATGAAATAGTTTAATCATTTCCAGGCGTCATATGGGTATTCAATGAGAATACCACCCCCAGTGGTAGCTAATCCATGTCATCATCATCATCGTCGGAAATTGTGTATTTCTTTTGCGAACGTTTTCGTCTGGTTTGCTTTTTTGTTGTAGATGAACTGCTACCACCACCGACTGTGGAAGGAGTTGGTGTGGCTGGTGCACTTGCAAGAGATTTATTTAGTTTGAGCTTCATTTTGACTGCAGCTGCTGAAGTAGTTGCAATTTCTTCATCCTCAGAACCATCATCAGCATCATCATCGTCATTGTCAGAATTATCAGAACCACCTTCAACACTGCCAGTACCAGCTGAAGCGGCAGTAGATGTTGTGATACGCTGACGTGCATTTGAAAATACTTTTTGTAACTCTATCGAATCCAAATAGATTAAGGAGGCTTCTTCATTATATATTTGTGCATTTAAGCATAGTTGCGCAAAATCTTTTTCAAGATCATTTATATCGCCGTATTTGCAATCTTCTATTCTTTGTAGAATCTTCTTAATATCAACTGGCCGTTTTATCACATCATAATAATCAGGCAAACGTTGCCGTGATGGTAATTTCATAAACGGTTCCGATAGAACCCGTCCATCATCATTCGTGTACTTTATTACAGCAGACATTATTTTATTCATTTGTTTCTTAAGACGTTTATCAATATTTTGACGTCGTCTTCTTTTAAGAATTACGGATTCTTCATCTGAATCGTCTTTGCGGTTTTTGCGTTTACGACGCTTACGTTTCGCTTCTTCTTCCTCCTCCTCCTCATCAAATTCAGCACCATCATCAATTGCTTTTAGCCATTCCTTCTCGGTAAGACTATCAGTATAATCAACTTCCTTCCGTTGTCGTGAGCCTCTACCTATAAATTTAAAAAATTAAATTGAATTTATGTAGAAAATCTTCTCTAAAAACTGATAAATATTCAAATATTTGAATTATTTACAATTAAACTATTAAACAATTAAAGGTTACCTACGTATATAAGTACGGCCCTTTACTTATTTATTATTATAAACAATAGAAAAGTACATGATTTGTGAATTGGTGGTTTAAAGATTTTATGTTCTTAGAAGAAAAATAGACAATAATAGCAGAGGAGTTGTAACAACATTAATTATAAATATTAGGTTAAGTGTAGTTATAGCAGAGAGATACGATCTTTTTAAGAATGAGTGTCTAGATCAGTGGAGTATACTATTATATTTCACTGATCTCTTTGAAAGATTGTATTGTATATGCCCTTGTATTGCCCTGCAGGTAAAACCCATGTGTCTTTAAATTGGTTTAAAGATGATGTTATATTAGAACTTTATACTCCAAGCTTATACCATAGAACATTGACTATTGAGAACTCAGTGCAGCCTGCTTAAATTTAAAGCAAAATAAAATTTGTGGAGATATTTTCATTCATAGGCACTATCCTATGAATGTGCCTATGACAAAGGCACTAACTTTTATTGTATACACTAACGTAAATAATATATAATTAAAGAAATATATTAAATGTGTGTTTCAATTGTGATCTTTAATTACCAGTATCCCGTATTTACGATTCACAATTACAATTTTGAACAATTATATATATTTAAAAGTGCTTCAAGAATAAAGATAATATAATAATTTTTCGCTAACTAAATCGCTAATTCTCATGACTTCAGGTATTTCAAGTCCAATAGATCTGTAGCTCCACTATAGCGGAAAGATTATTTCACTTCATCCAGTAGAAATTCTATCTTAATACATACCCACATTTACCTTTTCGTTCCTTCACATATTTTCTCTCCTCACAAACCATTCTACCTTGGAAACTACCTTATGAATAATTTATGTTTCAACACATAACCTGCTTAAAATAATCACATTATCAAAAAGCATAAATATACTTTTAGGATTGTCATGTATCCTTCAATTTTACGGAATAAATAACTTATATTTTTTCTTTTATACCGTACTACAGAAATTGTGACATATATTATGAGTTATAAATAAATAAATGATAGTTTTTTAAAACTTGCAAGTATTTAATAATACTTAACAATTGATTCTTACCTAAAATTGTATCTTCATCATATTGATGCCATCGCTCAACCTCATCATCATCTTTGGTTAACCAATCGGGTAACTCCGATTCATCAATTAAGCGCTCTCTTCCTGGATGAAGCTCTTCATCCTCCTTTTTACGATCAATATCCATTTTTTTAAATAATTCTACTTCTTCTTCACTACGTGCAATCATCATATTTATCATTTCATCATCGGGAACTTCATTTTCCTCCTCTTCTTCGCCATCATCCTGATGCAATATAGTTTGCAAAAATTGCTGTCTTTCACTACCTGTCGATTTTTGATCAAACATACCAGCTTGAATAACTTTTTCATCCATATTTAATTTATAACGCGCTGCAGCAAGGATACGTTCTTCTACTGAATTTACAGTCATAAGTCGAAGTACCCGCACTTCATTACGCTGACCTATACGATGGGCACGATCTTGTGCTTGCAGATCTTGATGCGGATTCCAATCTGAATCAAATATAACTACAGTATCTGCTGTTTGTAAATTCAAACCCAAACCACCAGCTCGAGTTGAAAGCAAGAATACAAAGTAATCTGAACCTTTTGCGTTAAATTTTCGTAATAATTCACCACGATCTTCTGCTTTCGTTGTGCCATCTAAACGTAAATAACCAAACTGCCGCCATCCTAAATAATCTTCTATAATAGTCATACATTGAGTCATTTGACAAAAGAGTAATACTCTATGATTTGAGGCTTTTAATTTTGGTAATATCCGATCAAGTAATTCGAATTTGCCGGAAACCCGATATAAGTCAGGACCTACACAAAAAAAAAAAAATACATTATGTAAAGAATGTAGCTACTTTATTAAATATAACTAGGTTTACCTGAAACTACGCCATGTCCGCCTGTATGATCACAAAACTTTTCTTCAATATGTTGAAACATAAATGGATGATTGCACAATTTTCGAAGCTGTACGATTGTGTTCATCAGGGCTTTAGCTCCTCCTTTACCCTGCTTACCCTTTTCAGAACCATCAGTTAACAAAACTCCCTTACTTTGCATATGCTTGTATAATACTCGCTGAAGTCCCGACATGTCACATTTTATGATATATTCAACTTTGTCGGGCAATTGATGTTCTACTTCTTTCTTAAGTCGACGCAATAAGAATGGACGCAATACTTTATGTAAACGTCTTATAATCAAAATTGTTTCTTCTTCATTCAATTCCACTTTTTCTCCCGTTGTGGCGAAAGGTGCATTGAACCATTGCTCAAAGGTAGAACAAGATTTAAATATTGACGGCAACAAAAAATTAAGTAGAGCCCATAATTCGGGCAATTTGTTTTGAAGAGGTGTACCTGTTAGTAATAGACGATATGGTGCGATGTAGTGTGTATTTAACACCTGTGTCAATTTGCAGTGATGATTTTTCATTCGATGACCTTCATCAATAATCATATATTTCCATTGTATCTTTGCTAACACAGCTTTATCCTTAATAACGTATTCATATGTTGTAAGTAAAACATTGAATTTAGTAGCACGCATTTGATTTTGTAACAAACGTCTTCCTTGAGGGCTACCTTTATAACTCACTACACCCACCGAAGGCGCCCATTTCTCAAACTCCAATACCCAATTTGGGAGTGTAGAAAGTGGTACAATAATTAAATAGGGACCCATAACCTATAATTTGCAATATTTAATAAGAATTTTAAGTAATCATTTAACTGAATCATTACCTTTTTTCTGTCCATTAAATAAGTTACTAGAGATATTGTTTGTATAGTTTTACCCAAACCCATTTCATCAGCTAATATTCCATTTAAATTATTATTATATAGTGAGACCAACCATTCAAGACCCTTGAGCTGATATTCTTTTAATTGTCCATTAACCATAATGCTTGATTGCTCAAAAACTTTTTCATGTATTGTGTGAGCAATGCTGTAATAAGTTTGTTCTTCAGTACGATATTCGTCATCTTCAACTTTTGCTTTTTTAATTAGATCCTTAGCATCTTCGTCGTTTTTGGGCTCTATAGCATCCTCAGTATCCTCTTTTTCTTTTTCTTCCTTCTCTTTTTCTTTTGTGTCAATTTCACGCATTTCATTATCGCCTTCGTCATCAGATTCAGCTTCTACCCAATCCCAACCAGGATGCTGCTCCAACCAACGATGCAAATGCTTTAGCATTGGTGCATCTTCATTAGAAAGTTTATTTCCTGTAGCTTGTTCAACGACAGTAACGCGCATATCTGCTGCAATGCAACTTTCATCGATATTGACATATTCACCACTCATTAGCAGTTCCTTCTTATATTGAGCCAAACGCTTGCACTCATCTTCTTTCTTTTTCTTCTGATCATCTTTATGTTGTTTAACCATCTGCGTTAAGTTGCTTATATATTCGTCGGTTTGTGAGAGCAAGAATGCTAAACGCTTATCCTTCTTTTGATCAATAAGCTTACGATAACCTTCTTCATCTTCTGCCATGAGACGTCGCATACGTTCCTTTTCTATACGTTCTTGTTCTTTCTTCTGTTCACGTTCTGCATTAGCATGGTGATTCATTATAGCTTTGTTCATACGTGCCAGTTGGGCCTACAAAGAAATTAAATAATTATTACAATTTATAAATAATAATTTTATTATTTTTAATGAAACCAACCTTATTGTTGCGATGATATTCTTTGAAGTCTTTGCCATGTTGTAAAACGGCTGCTAAGAATTCTTGATGTTTCTGTCTACGTTTACGTTCAGCTTCCAGCTTTTGTTGTTTCTCGAGTTTTTCTGTAGCACGTGCCTCACGGAGCCCCTGTCGTTTTGTCCGTTTATATGCTTTAATATTAACAGCTGTTTCCAAAGTAGTATCTCTTCTAGTGCATTGCACAACTTCGGTTCGTAACTGACGTTGAAAATTCAAAACGCGCAATGCTCTTAATTCAATTGCCGCTTGTAAACGTAGATCTTCAGACATAATTGCTGGTAGGCGCTGCAACTCTTGCATACGCAAAGAAATCCGTGCCGCTATACGATTTTCCCGTTCTTGCAACAAAGTTATGGGATCAAGTCCTATGGGTTTGGCAACAGTTGTAACACGATTGGGCTTGGGCATAGGTTGTTGTGGTGGCGGTGCTCCTTGTTTTGGTGTTTGCATACCTGGCGGCACTTGTGACGGCATACCAGGGCCTGGTGGCATACCGGGGCGAATACCTTGTGCCATTGTTGCCGGCATTGGTGAAGATATTGGTGGTTGCCCGCCGCCCATCATAGGCGCTGAGGGTTTACCTCCGTTAGGTATTTGATGCTGTTCTTGTGGTGGCGGTGGAGCGCCAGGCGGTAACTGTGGTGGTTGCGAATGTGGAGGCTGCATTTTGATAGTACCTTGTTGAGTATAGGGACTGGCAGGAGGAGTCGAACATTGTGGCGGTGTACCTGCATTACTTGGTGGCAATGGTTGCGAACCACTTGGACCAGGTTGTTGACCAGGCGGTACTCCTGGATGTTGTTGTGGTACTGGCGGTACTGGTTGTTGTTGTTGCTGGGATGCTTGTTGAAGCACTTGTTGCATTTGCATTGAAATGGGTTTGTTGCGTGCAAGTAAACGATACGCAGTTATTTGTGTCCTAAGCATATTAACCTGATTTCCAGTCAAATGCTGATGTTTTGAAGTAGCACGAATGGCTAACAATTGTGAGTATCGTGGATCTTCTTGTAGTCCCTTTTCTTCCATTGTATCAATGGCACGCTGAATTGCATTAAGATTCTCTTGTCCGGGACGTTCTGGACCTGGTGGGGGACCTTGTCCAGGAGCAGGGGGGCCCTAATAAAGATAAGTAATTAAATTAATTATTTTACAACTTATTAGTTTTACTATATAGTTAAATATAGTTGCACTTAGTAACAGCATTTTTTGTAATCGGCCCAACTTAACCTATTTTAATTACTCTAACGTTAACAGATAAAATAGAACAAACTTGCATATTTTAAATAAGATGATGTACAATAAGGAAGTACAAATATTTTTATTTATGGCCCAAACGACACAGATTGACTAGCAATCTATGTGCATACCAAAGCCAAAACTTAAATCTAGCAAAAAAACTTATTTAAAAAATGAAAATTTGCAACTATTGTAGTAAATATAATTGTCTGATAAAAATATTGTAACCAATAGTGGCAGAACATGTCGTGATAAGATGTTTCAAAGAAATTTATGCATGAACTTAAATTAAGATCACTAAGGCACTGGCGGGATCAAAATAGAAATATAAACATTTTATAAAAGTTCAAATTTTTGAAAAATATAATTTATTTATTTGTACTAAAAATATCTCTCTAATGTTGACATTGAACGAACCAAATATTTTGTCATTAATTTGTTTAACAATTCGAAGAAAAAAAACAGCAGAGGAAAAATTTTATATATGTATATATTCTTTTAGTATATAATATATAATATTATCTGTTGATATAAATCATAAGATAAGATACTTCTTAGTTCTTATATTTTTTTTCTAAACAGATGGCAAAGCTGTTTGTTTGGAGATATGACAGATGATACACACAGATGCTTAATAATTTGACAATTGTTCGTTTGTTTTCCTCCTTTGGTGCATTTTTTGTATAAATTTATTTATATAATATATATATTTAATTAATGTGGACCGAACGGTAGTTTAATAACAGAAAGAGGTTGTGAAAGTTATTTCTTAAAGTTCTATTTTTAATTAAATTTCAAAAATTATTTGCCATTTAAGAAAATTACTTTAACTTTTAAAAGGTAATAAAAAATAGTATTAATTATAGATTCGAGGTGGTTGCTTAATTTAGTTAAAAAAAGTAGCTGTTCTTTCTTTCTGACTATAATAAGCAGATTATTTTTAAAGTAATTGAGGTAAGTTACTCCTACCTGCAAATATATTTGTATATATGTATGTATTCTATTAAAAAAGTTCAGAATATTACAAAGATGGGAATCCAGAGAGAAAAGAGTCAAGCCACATCAATTTTTTATATCAAATCAGTTTGTAATATCACTCGGTCCAAAAAATTAAAACAACTATTTATCATAATATAAAATTAAAGATAATTTGTTATATTAAATTTTATTAGTATATAATGTATGTATATATGAAATAAGCAAAAATATAAATAAATAATACAGATGATTTACGAAGTAGACCGAATATTATGTTATATATAAATAATCTATAAGTTTTTTTTAAAATTAACAAATAAAATTAGTGTTTTTATTTCAATATTTTTTTTAATTATTTAAAGTAATATAAAACAAAAAACAAAATAAATTAAGCCCAACAAAAAAAAAAACAAATGAATATAAATATTTAAGGTCGATACCAATATTTTTATGTTTATACAATCTATGTATAGTATAGAAAATATAATATTTTTTTAATATTATATATGAAATAAACAAAAATATAATATAAAAAAATTTCAAAAATAAAAAACTAATAATACATAAATAATATATATATAAATAATATTTATTAACAATATATATAAATAAATAATAATTATATATAATATATAAATATAACTTATTGAAATCATAAGAAGCTGAAAGAGCTTTAAAAATAAATTACATAATATAATAAAATATAATATATATAATAATATAAAATATAATAAAATATATATAATAATAATATAATATAACAATAACACAATAAATATAAATAATATAATATAATAATAATATAATAATATAATATAATATAATATACAATAATAATATAATATAATATAATATAATATAATAATAATATAATATAATAATATAATATAATAATATAATATAATAATATAATATAATAATAATAGATTGAAATAGATTGAAATAGATTGAATAATAGATTGAAATTATGTTAAAATATATTTTTGAATTTCAAAAAATTGTGCAAAATAATAAAAAAGATCGTGTATAATATAATATATAAAACGATATAAAATAAAATAAAAAATATTATAAAATAACTGAAGAACAACCAATAAGTGTTGAATTAATTTCTTGATATATATTTCTTGATCTATTTGAAAAAGTCTTATCTAATTAGTGATGTGATGCAGTTATGTTGGTAACGTGTGACACATGACAAAATGACATAATTTTATTCTAATATTTTATTTTCCATCTTTATCATTCATCAAAAAAACTGATTAATAAAACATTTTATTTTAATAATTATTTTGTTTAAATACGAAATGCACATAAATGTACACTTTTTTAAAGAAATTATGTAATAAAATATAACATTTAAAAAAAATTAACTTAAGATTTACTGAATCTTATATAACATTCATACAAAGGTTGGAGTTTTTCAGTTTATAAACGTTATATAGCTTTCATTAAATAACAGTACGTTTACACTATTTCAATTAACACATTATCACAATTAACTCCATAAATGTGTTCCATCCAAAATTCATAAAAAAATGATAATTAAATCAAAACATGGCAATTATTCAATAATTGCCTTTTATTGGACGACTGCTGCTTCGAAACCTTTCAATGTGGCAACCATGTCTCCAAGTTCTGCTAAACACAAACTAAAAACATAACACCAAATCCCATTTAAAAATAAAATTTCAAACAATTAATTTTCTGAAATATATAATAATAAAAAACTGATCAACTTTCTGGAATTGTTATCAATTTAATATTATTCAATTCCTAACATGGAATTTTTATGAAATTGGCTATTCCTCTCTGTCGTTTCTTTGGTTTAGTGTTCGATAATTTAATTGCCATAATAATGTTCACACTAATTCTAATTGCGCAAAAATCTAAATTTAGGATCGATACTTGTAAAGTGTGACAGTATTGTTTAGTTGAGTGTCAGGAACTGAAAAACTTAAGTTTTAAGAAATAATTTGAAAATCTGAAATTATTTAAATGATAAAAATGTATAAAAGCTACATCAAAAATTTAACTAATTGATTAGTTTTTTGGTACTCAATAGTATAAATACATATATTTAAATTCATAATTTATTATATTTAATTGATAAATAAACGTACATAAACATTCAAGACTAAGTCACTTTTATTAAACTTCTCAGTTTATAAGGCTATATCCAAAACTGAACCAATCTAATTCAATAAGAACACATCATTCAACTGAAATGCTTTTGTGGAGAATGAAAAATAGTGAGTTCTGATTGTTTGATTTATTGACAACTATAGGATATAGTCATCGGATTTTCTTTACTAAAATACTTTGAAACTAATAAGACTGTATGACCTGTAATGTCTCTTCAGTGCAATATAAATTTCTCGGCAAACTAAATATACTTTGTACGTCTGCCAACAAATGACAATAGTTCTTAATAGTTCAATAAGAAATTCCTTAAAAAAATCTGCTAGTTTTCACCAATAAAACTATCGGAACAAATCTATTATGTTGAGGTTGATTTTTTTTATATAAACAAAGGTACAGACAAATTAGCTGTTTAAGCCCGTTTTCAATGTCAAAAGCTACTAAATATCAATGCTATTATTTTTTAAATATTTCTAAAAATTAAACCCTTAGCCAGCCATTTACGGTGATAACACTTATATTTTGTTTTTATAACCTGTGCCGTTCTGCTACCCTTACACCAAGTCGCAGAATGCTCTTAGAATTATAACATTAACATCTATCAATAATTAGAACGCCTATATAATTAAAACAACTATGAATACTTAGAACGCCTATGTAAGGAGTAACAATCTAATATATTTATTTCGCTGATAAGTATCACCACTTATGATGAAAACCTAATCCGGAACAAGTCAAATATATTTATATACTTATTTTAATATGGGACCGAAAAAAGTCAAATCTGTATTTATATATTATATATATGGTATATAAACAAAAAATAAAAACAATTTTATAATATTCATAAAATATTGATAAATGAAAAAAGTCTCAGTTAAAAACGCCACTGTTTTAACTGAATTGTTTAAGGTTTTATAAATAATTACAACAAACTTTTATGATGCGACTGACAATCCAAACTGTGAACGCTGAGCTTTTGGGAATTCAAAATGTAAACTCGTTTTTCAGTTTGCTGTTAACTGATTGGAGTATAAAACAAACTGTAGCTGAAGAAACAATATTTAACTATTTTACAGAAATTGGTGATTCAGCAATTAACGTTAAAGTATTTTTGACGACGGTTTAATATTGAACTTGGAAAAATGGTTACTAAAGAGGTGATTGATAAGTACTTTGATTTTATTTACCCATTGGCTGTTCGTGCTGGAGAGATCTTGCTTGAAGGTTACTGTAAGACTGCTATACCTGTTGAAATTAAGACGGACTTCTATGATGTTGTCACAGAATATGACAACAAAATCGAAGAATATTTAATGGAGCAAATATTGGCGACTTACCCAGATCACAAATTCATAGGTGAAGAAGACACAGCTAAGAACGATAATATAACTAAGGATCTTACCGACGCGCCAACTTGGATAATAGATCCAATAGACGGTACAGCCAATTTTATTAAGCAAATACCACATGTAAGCGTGTCAATTGGTTTGTCAATCAATAAAGAAATTGTTTTGGGAATTGCGAATAATCCGGTACAGGCAAAGATGTACACAGTGAAATTGGGACAAGGTGCGTTTTGCAATGGAATTCCAATTAAAGTCAGCCAATGTGAAAAGGTAAAATGAATATTTTATCTATTATATTTCAAAACAATTCATGATTACTTGCATTTTTTTTATTACATACGGAATGCTCCATTTCGTAGATGAATGATGCTAATGTTGGATATGAAGTATCTTTATTGCATGCACCAAGCA